TCATTAGCCCTTTAGTTGACTTCCGACTTCACAGAGGGGAAGGAACACCAAAGTGAAAAAGGTCGAAAGGGGGGGTGGGAACAGAAGAGTGTTTCAAATGTAAAAGAGACAGACACAAAGGTAGAGAAAAGGGTGGGGTGAGTACTATGGAAGTGGTGGAATATTACATACAGTGGGGTGATGGTAGTTTGAAGTCAGAAGTCAAGGCATACAGTGGGGTCATGGTAGTTTGAAGTCAGTGGTCAACTATACAGTGGGGTGATGGTAGTTTGAAGTGAGAAGTCAACTACCAGTCAATAGACTTTTTTCCGCATAAGTATACGTTGCCCAGGGTGCACCACATGGAGGTTGTAAGTACACGTTGCCCAGGGTGCACCACGTGGAGGTAGCCGTATGAAATATACGTTGCCCATGGTGCACCACGTTGAGATAAGTATATCGCGCACCCCATATCGGATAAAATATTTTAACTGCTATGGGATTAATCTTAGTCTAGAGCTGAAAGCTGCTCTCAATCTGATGGACCTGAAGTTGTACCCAACCATCTCCTGACTACTTGGGAGGGGGCGGGGGACATTTTCGGTCGATTTTTTTATGGGCAGTAAGGCACATATCAGTAAGCTTCTTCGTGCTAAACTTAAATTTGAACACTACTTTTAGTTGTTAGATTTGATCCGGTATGGTTTTGGTGTTCCTCTCGATGACTGTGTACAAGTGGGAATCGAACTGTGTCACCAATATCCTTGAGGATTACAGATTTGACTTGCTTCTTCTTTAATTTTTTAATTTTGCCTAGGCTTTGTACATGAGGCTTACTTCTTCAAATCTAACAGATCTCCAACTTAAACAGAATAGATCTTCATACTGATTCAATATCTAACAGAAATAGAAAGACTATGTAGTCTATTAGGTCATTTTTTACGTATATATTTGTACTATAAACAAGTTAGTAAGTCACCTGGAATGTATGAAATGCACCTTATAGGTCTACCATATTACTTACTTAATTGACAAGTAATCTATCTTTTTGCAGTCAGAAGCTCCCCGATTTAATTGAATCGAGGTCGGATTTCTCTAGAGCCAGCAAAAAACCTTATGCCAATGCCCCAGACACGGTTCTTTAAACCAGATCTCCTCTCCCATGTCTCCTTACGTGAGGAAATGAAAGAATTGTAAACATTCTGTTTCTTGATTTTGTATATACCTTACCTCATACCTCTTCGCTTACGCAGTAAATAAATAAATGCCTATTTTACGGACTTGACTTGATTCTCTCTCGCCTATTCCATTTGAAATCACCATAATTTCAATAGCTGTTCTTTCTCTTTGCAATGCAGTAATGTGGACAATTAGAAATGGCATATAAGTTTGAATCATCGTCTAATACCAACTCTTGGTCTGGTGGATCTACGGCATGGAATGCTGTTAGCCAACTTCTTGAAGAAACATTTGTTCAGGACTTTGATTCCACCTCTCCAGAGGCAAATCTTCGAGCTATCAGGTATCTTTTTTTTCCGCATAGCTGACTGCGTGTTTGCATATCCATGGTTTTATGTCCCCCCCCCCCCCAATTTTGCCCCTAGGAACATTCGCAATTTTATCACTGCCAATCCGATCAATAAACAAATGGTCGTTCAGAATGATCACATACGGAGAAGGTGAGAAGATGGAAATGTTGCTTAAACTCCCCCTATAAGTCTTTCGGTCTCACGCGATCACCTTTCCTTCTTTCAGAATCATGTCTCTTACTGGGGCTTTTGCGACCCCCTCTGAGTACACCACAACCTTTAAACGTGACTTCTTGTGCATGTACGCAAGTTTTCTACGAGAAAGTCCCACTTTTGCGGAAGAAATGTGCAATCAGAGGGACTTTATTATTGATCTTCTAGCTGCTGGTATGCTTAATTATACTCGCTAATCATTCGCACAACGCTGTCACCAATGGACAGGCATTTTTTGTTATGCAGAAATTACTTTAAAGTAGATGGCTTGTGATGACTAATTGATTGTGGTGGCTGCACGTGGTATAATTGAAAAGTTCAATATTATTCCTTCTTAAACAAGCAAAAGTGGTGATCTATTGGGATTATTTTTTTTTGAAATTTGAAAATCGTCAATGTCTATTTTCTTAAAGATTGCAAATTTTCTACTAACTGGCTCACAATAGACAGAAAAGCCAATTCTGGTGTGTGTAGTCTTAAGTCAAACAAATAGTCATTTTTGACTGTAAAACTATATATACGCTTCATTGCCCTATCTTATTTTGTTTTATCTTAAAGAACACTGTAGTGTTTGATTTGATTCACCAGTAGATTCGAGCTTTAAGTTTTCCTACTCGTCATCATTTTCTACTTTGGAGAGGAAGTGTAGTAAGATGTCAAGATAGTAATGTTATTTGTTGCCTTGTTTTTGTGAGAAGCCATTATTATTACTACTACTCAAGATTTCTTCCATTAAAATAATGAGGTCACCGTTCTAAATACTTGTTTACTACGCTTTTAATTTTGCGTAATTTACGTTATCGATCGAATTCTGGCATAATGCAATTTTCAATGCCACATTCCATAAACACTAAATCAAGTCTTTGGGGGGTTAATAATTAAGCCGAGCGTTAAATTGTCTTTCCTGTAATTTTGTAGAGGAGAAACAAAACAAAACAGAGGTTATTTGAAATGGAGGTCTTAGGTTATTGTTCGAATGATTATGACTTCTAATATTCATCCTTTTAGTGGACCTGAGTAGCGAAAACACCGATCCTCCACTTCGCGAAGCTATTCTCCTCTTCCTAAAAACTCTCTTTGAAGCTGACAATTTGGATCAAGATCTCGAATCTGTTCCAGCGTTCAAGCGAGCTGCCGCTTTGGTAAGCCTTGTGTCAATGCAACTTCGCACTTTCTTTCAAAGGAAAGCCTTGATCATTTTTACTGACTTAGTCGTTGAGGATAAGTCGATCTATTTGAGTCTGTTTGGCTTACTGTTTGTAACGGGTAGCTATCTAGTTAATAAGGAATTTTTTTAACTGTTTCATGTGAAATATTTTGTTGTGGTTTTTCGCTTTACAGGAGATATTCACGGTCGAACGCTTAGGCAATCTCATTCGCTTGTGCGAGGCTCTTTTCGACTCAGTACGAAGAGGTTCCAAGGAGGGCTCTACAGCTCTCGTCTGTCTCACCAAATTGTTCGCCCTTCTGGTCACTGACTCAAAGCTAGCCGAACGCAATGTTGAGCCCTTACTCCGTTTTGCTCATCGAGGTGTTATGGCAACTATTTGTCCACGTCATGCCCCCCTTGTGAATCAAGACCGGGGTTTGATTCTTCCCTTTGATGTGGCCAAAGTTGCCCAGTGTCCGGAGTCTACCGCTTGTACTGTGAGTTGTAGTAATGGCTAAAGGCGCATATTTCTTATCAGAAGCGAGGTAATTAGATCTAGCCCATATGTTAGTTACTTTTCTGTTAAGTTGAGATAACTTCATTGTACCTCGCTAAGCTAAATATGCCTAAGCTAGTATTTACTCTTCATTCTTTGTGCAAGTTGAGATGGCAGGACCAAAATTCCATTCTCATTGCATCGATTAATTTGCTCTTGGCGCTAAGGCATCTAGTGTTGAATGGAACATCATTATTGCCTAAAATGGAGCCCTATAAGTTGTGCAGTTTCATGCTTTGTTCCAAGTTTATATGCCTTTCTCTGTTTGTATTCTAAGGACGAATTGAGGTATATGAGCCAGGTTAGAGTTAGTATTGCCCCCCTCTCTCTATCAGTATATTTGTCCTACCTATATCTAACCTTTGAAAAAAATGCACCCAACTGCACTCACGCGTGTCGCAAGCTGACTGATGCCGCCGACGTGATGAATTTCGGTGGTCTCAGGAGAAGACCAGAGACGTATTTAATATGTTTCAAATGGCAAAAGCACCTTCTGTGTTACGCATGGAGCTCTCTTTTTGAAGGAGGTGGGGGGGGGGGGGGGTCGTACGGTTCTAGGAGCGTCAAAAAGGGTTAGAACAGGACGCTTGCTCCTCCCACACGGTTATTGCTTCTCCCCTAATACGGAAACTCGCTATCTTCACCGCTTCCTTTCCATTTTATTTGGGGGAGTCAAGAAGTGGCGTATTAGAATTGAGTGAACTTTACTGAGCTCTGCTATGTCTACATCTGCTTGGATTGTGGTCAAATTAAAATAGCAAGATCAGGCGCAGAATTAAGTGAATATATCAGCAGGCAATGAATAGAGGGGCCAAATAACTGGGGGATCAAATGTTGGTAAGGTAGCCTTGAGTCACTTGTCAATCCGATACCTCCAGCTTTCAAATGGATTAAGAATTTTGATATGCTGGCTTCATCACGTTCTCTTTTCCACTCCCTTGTTTCATCATTTCTTGCAGTTATGATTTCCGATTCTAAGTGTTCAGACGCCATCAGTGGTGGGTTAGGAGGGGGGGGGGGTTTAATTTTGATTTGATATTCACTATGTGTAATAGCCAACGTCGTTGACTTCTATGCAGTAGAATTAGTAGGATGTTAAGTTCTCTCAAGCCACTTTTCTCATAGCTATTCCACTGATCAGTATGTAACCCATTCTTTTTGAATAGATAAACCTTTTCCTAACTCACTTTTGTTCTACCTCTCCTTCCATACTTTGAAGAGTCGGCTAGTGCTAAAAATTAGGGGAAATTCTTTCCCTTGAAAGAGATAAGCCGATTCTTCCACTAATTACTATCATTTCTTGGCTTCATGCGATTTTAACTTTTCCTTACATAGCACAGTCAGTGAATAATTACTACTAACCACGTGAATGGAAAGAAGAGTATAAAGGTGCCATTTGCTGACAGGTTGTAGAAATTAGTTTGCACTTCTGCCTATATTTGGGAATGTTCGTTCCAAGCGATGGCCAGAATTGAGGACAGACCACTTTCACAATTCTCTCCATCATTACAAACTACGTGCAACTAGTTAGCTCTTTTTTTCTTCTTAATTCTATGCCAAATCCTATGGTATCCCAATATCGATTGATTTTAAGTAATCATTTCACTTAATGACTAGCAAAAGTTACCTTATTTCCTTGACTTGAATCTGACCGTGGTACATTTGAGACCCAATGGCTGGTTTTTTATAGTCATGAGGCAAAACTCGAAGCCAAAAATATGGGTATAACCTTGACCCTATTAAGATGTCCTCTTAGAGGCAGGCTATAGGGTCACACCAGGTATTGATACCTAAAATTGAAAATATTTTCCTTATTCGGTGACTTACGTCTATCTGCAAGCACAACATGTTTCCTTATTTTCCAATCTTTCCAGTCAATCATCTTCCTTAACAATTCCCACCAACTAACTAATTAACTAACAATTCACCTTTTTCTCTTCTAAATCATATTTTTTTGCGAGAAATGCTTGAAAACCTATTGAGGGAATTGCGCTATGTTTCAATTCATATCTTAATAATTAAGTTAGCTTTGGCTTGCTGATCAAAAGTAAACAATGCGATCGGTTAGCCATCCACGTCACTTCAAATATACCCACGAGAATCGATCGCGTGACCTTTGGCCAGCGGCTAATTTCTCTAACTCCATCAGATGTACATTAATTTCAATATAGCAACGCGGCTCATGTTTGTCTACCAATATCGATTTTACCTTAATATCAGAAAATTGAATTCTATGCTTAAATACTGGAATTTATTATGTCATGTGGATTAGCTAATGTGCGCTAGTTTAAATCATTTGAATGTGTCACACAAGATGTTGTTTTTAAATGCTTTATAATCATGCGAAAATAACTTCAATGGGTTTATGCGAAGTGAAATAGATGACAGAAGATTGCGAATTAAGAAGTTGGGGAAAGCAAATGTTAGTTTTACTGCGATTCAATTCCGATTCGATTTGTGAAATATTGAATTAATAGGCACTTCATATTCCAAAATTCAAATTTCATGATTTGTCACTTGGATTTGTGATTGATTGTGCCTGTCTGCGATACTAATTGCTTTTCTCGGTCCAATTTTCTTCCATTCTTCCAGAGGTTAGACTGACGAAAAGGTCTTGCGTTGCTTTAAACAAACTACATGACCTTGACAAAACGGAGCTGGGACGGTAAAGATACGATCTGTTTATTTGCTGAAATAATCAGGTCAAAGATGTTAAAATTACGTTTGTGCTTCAAGTTTAAGCTCAAAGTGAATTGAAATGGGGATATTAACTTTAGAAACCAGTAATTTGGAGTTCTGACTATCAAACGATGCTTTTCCTGCAATAACTGTCATTGTCAATAACATCACTTAGCAATTTACAGGCGTTAACCTTTCTCAAGAGAGGTTGTATAAAAATTTACCCAGTAAATCATTTTCATAACTGCAATATTTTCTGCCAAAATATTGAAAACTTCGATATGCTGAATTTTCGAGGAAATAAAATTGCTGTCTTTCACTCCAAATTACGAAGTTTATTCCATTTTATTGGGAAAAATTATTTCGTTCATTTAATTATCCAATTATCTAATTATTGGTAAATTTAATGATAACAGTGCATTGATAGATTACTGAATAAGATATAATTCAATTCTATTGTCTCTCTTAGCGTAGTCTCCAATCTTAGAGGTAAAAAATAATTGTAAATAGTTGATAATTTCATTGTATTCTCCTCCTTCGTTATTTGCGTAAAATATTTTCGGATATATTGTGTTTAAGGCTGAATAGTAAAACAATGGCGTTGCCTAGGTAAATAACTAAGCCATGGTTTGCCTTGAGTCCACCATTTTAATTGTGTAATACCCAGTAAGGGGGGGGGGAGAGAGGGAGATCTGTCTCAATAAAATCGATTTATTATCATACGGTTCTTTTTAGAGTTCATTTTGCGCTTAAACATTCACCTGAATCGCCCTCGACCGGGCGGGGCATATTTACATGGCAGCTCTATGTGATCATTGTATTGGTCTGTGTTTGGGAGCCTGTCATGCTATCGTGGAAGATCCAAGAAGTGCATATTATTCATTTTCCCTTTGGTCGAACGCTGGCATTCATTTTTATTATGAATTTTATTTCGTGCTTTGAGGTTCGGTTGCTTTCTTTTGCTGTTTATCAAGTTGTTTACCACGTAGCTGGTTTGTTTTTTATCCTGCATTTCATGATATTTTGAAGACACACAGCTTGTTTTAATACGCATACGGAAACCAGCTTCCATTCGGTAGGGAATAGTTGAAAGGATAATTGTAATGCCAATTTATTTTCAATATTGGCGTAGCCAATAGGAAATAGTTTTAGGCTAATAGTGATCATTGTGTTTCAAGTGCCTGTCAATCTTGGTTTGGCCATCATTCTCTTCTTATTCCGTCATTCAAATATCACATCTGTAGGTTATATTGAACTGGATAGAAATGTTGCATCATTTAATCCGTCTCTGAAGTTAAATTTTTAATGTCCCAGTTTCATAAATGTCAGTTACTTGCTTTCATTTAGTTCTTACACCTTTTTTTTGCATCAACAATACGATCGAATGGATTTGAAAATAATTACATGTAAGAGAAATTATTTGCGTTCATTTAAAGTTATTAATTTCAAATATGTCCTTTTTACTGACAGGAAGATGTCTATTTTCTGATTTCTTATTTCGAACCTAATATAATTAATTAAAAAATATAGATTACAAAGAGTACTCAAATATTAAGGATTTATCTCAGAGTTATATAACTTTCACGTCCTCAGATTGATGTTGGGTTTATTAACTTTCCAGATTATCTTCGACTAATTTCTATGCCAGTCTTACCTTGTGAATATTGTCACTGGTAAAAATTATTTTGTGGTATTATTGATTAAAATTATCGGCAAAATCACACCCGGAAAGTCACGTGTTTCGATGTCACTTATTGAGGAAAATGAAATACGCGTTTCAAACCCTGGGGTTCGCGAACTTTGCAGTTCATTTTCTCTCTTTGATGTAGTGACCGATTTCAAATGCACTTAACACGTAATTATGGCCCAATACAAATTCCTTTCGGCTGTTGATAAGGGTGGAGGTTGGGAAACATCACCTCGAGCTTTTATTGTGCCACTTACCACCACAATATCGCTAGTATTTTTTTTGTTTCGTAGTTGTAATTTCCTGGCGAATTTCACAGATCTCGAAACTCGTGGAATCTCTGTTATTTTGAATTCGGTTGAGGCTTAGTAATGATAGTAATATTTTGCACTATTTGAATATCGAACACCCCTTTTGTTTCAATAAAGATTGATTAAAACGCTAGCTTCTAGCCGGAAGTTTCATCCATCCTATTTAGACAAAGTTTCTCAAAAAATCGATATTTGAATTAGTTGGAGTTTTGGAGGGGGGGGGGGGGGGGGGGGGGGGGGGGGGATATTTTATTGGTTGAAATT